GAAGATGCGTGTACGTGTACTGTAGACAATTTCTAGGACGCTGAATATTGCATGCGTAGAGTCGACGTCACGATTTTTGCGTATCAATTTTTCTATGCTTTTTTCAACAAATAATTCACATTTTTCTCCTGGGAAAACGTCGTCAATCTTATTTTATTAACCTGAACTTTGTCTTGACAGCGCAAATTATAGCCAGATAAGCGTCTTTGGTTGATTTCTGGCACCCAAAATTGATTCTCGTCTCAGTCCTAATTACGCGTTTAGGAATGACTTGGTGATCCAATTTGGTGATTTTCCGTACAATTGCTAGATCTCGCGAGATGCATGAAAGACGCGCGTCGAACGTCTGCCGCAAAAATCGAACGATTTGATTTTGAACTAGAATTTCTTTATTTCGCAGCTTACATTGACCGGCCGATCTTCGACAGAGGAATATTGCTTCCGAATACCCTTACTTAATCGAAATTGCCTATCATCAAATGTGGACAGCACATTATTAAGCATGGAAATGTGCCCGAAATACTTTCGCGTTTGTCGAATCCCACGCGATGTTTGACGCGACTACGACGCTATGACCTTTGTTTGTCCTGTTTTTACGTTCGATTTCACGCATAACGCGTGATTCTCGCAGTGAACGGAAAATAGTCGATCAGTCGAGCACTATATAAGACACAGCACCCTGGGGAAAAATCCCCAAGACTATCGCAAGACTGACCCAAGACTCTTAGACTGCGTCAACACTCGCCCCAAGGCTCTCCAGGACTGGACTTAGACTCTCTTAGGCTGGACTTAGACTGCGTCTATCGTGGAGTACTCGCCAAGACCAACTCAAAACTCTCTTTATTCATTTTCAAAACTCTAACCAATTACAAAGCAGTAAAAAGACTCTAGGGCGTAACCTTCAATCATAAAGCCAATCACACTAAGTACTGAATACGTCATATCTTTTGATTAATCGTTCACTACATTAATAACTACGAATACCAACTGTCAAAATAATAGTCTGAATAGCGACGGTTATCTCGTAATTAGTTCCAAATCACTGAGCCAAGTTCCGTCCAAAACTTCAAATAGGCCTAAACGATGACAGACATAACACAGCAATTCGCTAATAATCAGCTAATTAAGTCGATTAACAGATACGCGAAAACAATTTCATCATACTATACCAACTGTCAAATGACCAAGTTCGTGACTTTCATAACATTGCTAGGGATGCATTCATGGTATGGATAATTAATGGAAAGCCTTGTACTGGACCAATATATGAATTGATGCATAAAACGCAGGCAAAATTTAAGCTAATGATTCGAATGTGTAGAAGAAACGATGAACAAGCAAGAGCTGATGCGTTAGCTTATAAGTTATCACAGGGGAAATCTCGAGACTTGGAATTCAGTTAATAGTATGACTAACAATGCTGGACCTCTACCATCTACTATAGAGGGTTGTGATGGGCAAACAAGCATTTGCAATATGTGAAAAAAAAACATTATGAATCGCTTTTCAGTCTGTAACAAATTGTCAAAACAAAAATCATGTGATATCTGCTGTGAATGTCGTGAATTACCACGAAGATATGATGGTCACCTGCAATCTTTGTTCATGCACGGTTACTAAAAAAGACCGTGGTTCATGGACATCTGCCAGACTATTTTATGGATACAATGATTGTCCCTATTGTTAAAGATATCACAAGAGTAAATAACTATAGACCTGTTGCTATAGTAACCGTTTTATCGAAATTATTTGAATTGTGCATTTTAAATCGAATTGAAAAGTTTATCGTGATGTTCAGTTTGGGTTTAAACGCAAGCATTCAACAGAAATGTGCATCTTCGTAGTGAAGGAAATTGTTGACTTCTATAAAAGTCACAACTCGCCCGTTTTTGCTTGTTTCATGGACGCAACAAAAGCGTTTGACAGGGTAAACCATTGG